TGCTGCAGAAGTTGTTGCTACTGTTTCATCACAGGTTGTTGGGAGTTAGCCAGCCTTTGTATTAGCTTCTTAAATCTCCTTAGCTGGGCCCTGTAGCCATGCCATTTATAAGGCATGTTTTTCTCAGACATCTGTCAATGAGCTTTGTAAGGTTTGATTGAATAGAAATGTTTTTGACAAAGGTAGTTCCCTTGCTAATTTTGTGAGCAGTGCTGCTACAAAGACAAAAGCCAGCAGCTGTGTCAAGTTTCAAACAGTATCACAGAAGTGTCCGTATAAAAGAACTGTCATGTCAACACAAAGGTGAACCTGGTCTGCACACGTGCATGCGGTAAACCGACTCCCCACTGTTGACACTTGTAAGGGACACTACAATTCCTTGTTGATGCTTCCAAGCACTCTTCAAAAGCTCACTGAAAAATTACCCTTCGCTGTTGATACTGTCTACAACCCGGGCAGAAGTTGTAATGGTTGTCGCCTAGCTGAGGTCAAGAAATGTTTATAACAGGTTAACCTGAAGCCAAAAGGGATGTAGCCTAAAACCTTCCAGTCTTTATGTTTACAGAGAAACATTCTGGCCAACTTAAAGATGGTAGCCAATACTTTTAAAGTATGCATCAAGCAGTAGGGCCAATCATAGTAAAGAACTAATTGTCCACCAAGTGTTTTTGTGTTGCCAAAACTAGTTGCAATTAACTTTACGAGCTGCGTTTATGTGGAAACTTTTTTTTTGCAGCTCTGTCGTAAAGTGGTTCAGTCCATAGCGTCCCTTGTCGTCTAGGTAACCATTCATATTGCGAAGGGCCCTGCAAACCTTTGTGGGTGGGATTAGGGCAAGTCTGGCTGTGAAAATATATTAACAGGTCAACAATGCACGAGACAAAGACGGTAATCCGATGGATTGTGCAGTGAGCGATCGTTCTCCCCACGTTAGAAAACTGCAGTTGCTACGGCCGGCTCGAATGAAACAGGGGCAAGCTCGAGAAAGAAAGAAGCACCAACAAGTGTTTAAAAGGGAAAGTTTGTTGCCTCAACAACTTTCAGAAACTAAGACACCGCCCCGATCAAGACTATTCAAGCGATCCTCGCTGAATATGATATAAAAGCTCACTTTGTTCTTCTGGTGTCCACTTTCCTAAGTATGCGGCAAGAGTGCCATATGGCTCCAAAGTGGTGTGGACTACTCTTAACAGCTTGTTTGGGGTGGCTGTTTTTGAGAGCCACTATGTAAAATAGAGTATGTTCAGTATGGGAGTGTGCATTACGACAAGTGGGTTTACATGCAACAAGGGTGTGGGAACCTCTTTTACTTGTCAAATCAAGTCTTCTGCTTTGCACTCAGCAACTAAGACTCTAAAAGCATGGTTCTTTGAAAGCGGTTCGAAAGCAGCGACTTATTTAAACTTTAAAGCGTGGGAATTTCAGAAAGTCTGCTTTTCAGGACTTACTTTTTCCATTGACTGCGTTATAGTCGGCTGTGACCAGTCTTGTTGGCACTTTCCAACTCATAAACATCTGCAAAAAAACAACAACAGAAAAAAGACATCAAACATCAATGCAAAGCAACAAAGCATAACTTCATCCCAGGTTTAGAAAACACAAAGCAGAAGTTTTCCTGAAATAAGATGCCTCCATAACATGCCAAAAACTGGGGGTTTTGGGGGTCTTCAGGAGCTTTTATGTGCTATTTTCTAATTGCATATAGACAACATAGCCGGCCTGGTTGAATTACCCCCATTTGAACTGCGCTAATCAGAAAACAGCCGAAGATCACCAAACCCCCAGTTCTATAAGCCTTCTACGGAGATATAAGAACTGTATCCGAGGAAAGTTTACAGGAATGTCCCTTGATGGCTCATAGTGAAGTCCGTAGGGATATTTCAGCTTGTAGTTCTTCGCTGCATCTTTCCCCTTCAGGTTAGGTTTCCTTGCTAGCGCGGCCATGTCTCCACAGTAGTAGGAACATTACTGCGCAATAAACGTCAAGAAAAGCGGGGTTTCATTCCTTCACAGCGGGTCTAGGTCGGTCGCTAGGCTGGGCTTGTCCAGTGTGCCGGTGCGCGATTGGGTGGCGCGAAGGCGGTGGCTAAATATTTACAGTATCACACACTTCAAATTACCTCCTTTGTGTGTCCAGCCTATAGGGGAGGCCCGCACAAAACCTCGTATTTGTACAGCTTTTGGCTGTTAATGGAGTTTTTATATGGGCGTCTTATCTGGGTACCGGGTGTTATTGCTGAATAAAAGTTGTGCATTTGTTTGCCGTCGTTTGTAAATGTTGTATTCAGGGCGGTGGCATGTTGGGTGACTAAGTGTGCTTGTAGTTGGCTGAGGGAGTGGAAAACAGGTGAAATTTATTGCTGCTGGTGTTTTTTTAAGGTGACAACTTTAAGGCATGTTGTGACATTCAGGGGCGGCGATACGTGAGGTCTCTAGCAGTTTTTGTGTGTGAGAGACTCAATAGGTAAAGAAAAGGTCTCAATAGGTGAAGTGAACGGGAACGTTTGCAAAGTTGCCTTTTCAAGGCGCGGAAAATCCTCTCGTCACCTTCTTAGCATTCATTCGGCAGTTCCGGAATGTCTCGCTTTACTTAATGGGAATTCTTTACGGGCCCTTGCTTTTACAGGTTAAGTCGCAAGAATCACTTTCTCGCTAATCTCTTGGGCAAAGGAATGAAATGGGTTTGGTAGCAGGCAAGAGTGGTGGATGGTAACGAGGACCCCTATCAGGTCAATTCAGAACTGCAGATGGAACCACCTGTTAGTGGTTGCTAAGGAATATACCAACCATTTCAAATAGGGGGAGGGGAAAGAAGGGAGGGACAAGTGGTCTGCCTATCCACTGTGAACAAGCTCAAGTTATATTTCCCTCATATTTTGATATTGGCACTGAAGTTGGCATAGTCAAAGGCCCATATTTTCTGCCTTTCTTCTCATAATGTTACCAGATGTTTTCAGACAAACATAACCCTCAAAAGAAACATTCAAACATGTGCTAATGACATTCTAACATGCTACAATTTCCTGAAGCTTTGAAACTGTACATTACACTGCTTCCTAGAGCCGGCTAACTAATCGAAAGTCAACTTCGTTTGCTTGCTTTTGAGTTTTGACGAATATTCATAACCAAACACACTAAAAAGTTATGAGTGACAAAAACGCTAAACACTACAAAAGTTAGCTACTCTGGGGAGCTTTTGAGACGCACTCTGTCTCTTCTTCAACACGGTAAAGATATCTTCATTTTTGCTTGGTTTGCTCCCTAATAGCACACCTTATTAAAGACCAGCACAGGCATATCTGTGTCTACGTTCTATTGTCCTCAAAATCACACTGAAACTTGAGTCAGGAAGCATGGTTGGTACTCAATAAGATTAAATCCCAGCCCTTTGTTAGAATCCATTATTAGATTTTCCTTTTTTCCCACGTGTTATTCTTGTCTTGTGAATGGCACAGGTTGAAATATTGTCCGGGGGTATAAGTGTGTTCTATGGAACAATTATCTGATATGGAATGACCAGAAGTTCTCTCCATAACTCGTTAATGTTACACATTTTGGTGTTTTCTTACAGTGATTGACCCAAATAAATGTGCTGTTGCATGAAAAAACAACAAGAAAGCAATATTGCAACATATTGTGCATCTGTGAATAGTTTCATCAGGAACGGTAAGACACTGAGTAAAGAGACTCATTTTACACAACTAAGTCTTTTATTCAGCCGACGTTTCGGTGACTGTCTGTCACTTTCCTCATTGCAATTCTGACTGTTTCACATTGCACTGCAGCACAGGTGTCGCTGCTATAGATGCAGTGCAATGTGAGCCAGTCAGAATTGCCTTCAGGAAGGTGACAGACAGTCACCGAAACATCAGCTGAAGAAAAGACTTGGTTGTGTCTCTTTACTGAACATATTGTACACATTAAAAACTTGGCATTGCAAAAGACAACTCAATATGAGGACAAGGTAATATCTGAGACAAAGACTTTTGTTGTTAGGATGCACAAAATATTTGGGTGACAAACATTTTCAGCAACAAGTAGTATGATAGAACAATCCAAGATATATCTCAATAGTTGAAGCCCCATGACAATTATGGCATGTTCTCTCTACTTGAGTTAACCTACAAATTGCATTTTTCAAAAGGGGCAATATTTCATTCCTTTTGGCAAACAAGCCCAAAATCACTGCATACAAACATGTCATCCATAAAGCCAAGAATAACATACAGTCCCATAAGTATGTGATATATTGGCCAATCTGTCTGAAGCCAGAGACAGTTGTTGAGGGAGACACAGGCATGAAAAGCCCTTGTAGATTAGTCCTGTGGTTTACCATGGAGGTAAGCTGTGTTGAGAAGGTATGAGGTGGATTGAGAGGGCATATCAGGGCTCAAAATATCACCTGCATGTGCAGGTTAGTACATGTGCAGGTAAAATTGAGGCTGTGCAGGTATTTCTGATGTCTATCTGCACCTATGATCACCTAATCTGCACTGGTCCATGTACTGGGGTTTATGTGAATTTTTATTTGCTGCAGTGGCTGCTACTACCTGTGAAGTGCATTTTTGTATAAAAGAAACTATGGCAATGGTTCCTGAACAGTTTTCAGTGTGATCCATACTTCTTAAAGTCTGAGTGGTGCAGGTAAAATTTGTCTGGTGCAGGTAATTTTTCAATGTTTCAATTTTAAGCTGGTGTGTTATGCCGAAGGGCGGTTATACTGGCTATACCAAACAGGTACAGAAACTGTATCTGTATAGCCGGTATAACCGCCTTTCGGCGTAACACACCAGCTTAAAATTGAAACATTGAAAAATGTTACTTGCACCAGTGCAGGCATGCAGAAAAAAGGGATTCCAACACTGCGTGTGGTGGCACAGTACACGTACACAGGAAACACCTAGGATACCTGCCGTGTGTTATGTCAACAGGTAAACCTCTTTAAGATTCCTCCTGAAGTCTTGTCACTGATTAATGGTCTTGTTATGAGTTTACTCGTGAGTTGGCTCCTTGGAATTTAGGAAGTGTGGTCTTGCCCTCTTGTGTCATAATCTTGCACAGTTTTGAAAGAATGAAGTTTTTCTATCTTTCTTGTACCCAATAAGTCTAGATTAGAGGTACAAGAATGTTTTGCCCAAGGGAATACACAGGCTTATATCGGAAGTGCAGCAAAGTTCTGATTGAATGGGGATTTGTATGGATTAGATACAAGATTTAGATGTAGGCCTATAGTTTAATTTGGGATTAGTACTGCATTTTCTACACCACTGGGTGTCTGTGGACCAGACCAGACCATTTTTTCCTTTGACAACAATATGATCATCTGTATAAAATCAGGGTTTTCATTTTCAGAATGATAGCATAGAGTGGAAATATCACTCCTAAAGCATACAGTACTTATTTTTCAGAATGATAGAATGGACATCTCACTGACTCCTAAAATATACTTAAATTTCAGAATGATATTATCATAGAATTGAACATGTACTTATTTTTCAGAATGATAGAATGGACATCTCACTGACTCCTAAAATATACTTAAATTTCAGAATGATATTATCATAGAATGGAACATATACTTATTTTTCAGAATGATAGAATGGACATCTCACTGACTCCTAAAATATACTTAAATTTCAGAATGATATTATCATAGAATGGAACATATACTTATTTTTCAGAATGATAGAATGGAAATCTTACTCCTAAAACAGTTCTTCCTTTTCAGTTTGAATAAAGAAGTGAAAAATGCCATTATAGACATTTGTCATGCTAATAATAATTACATGGAGACCCTCCCACACAAACCTTTGTGATGATGATTTTCATGATTGCTTTTTGTTGTGTCAGGAACGAAGGATGACATCATAGATGTGAAGATAAGGTTTTGATGAAGTCTTCTGATTAGCGAAAAAAAATGTTGGAATCCATCTCTCTCTCTCTCTCTCTCTCTATCCAGTTTAATGTCTTTTTTCCCCGGAAACTGGGGGTTAGACAAGCTTGCATACATCTGATGTGTTATGCCGAAGGGCAGTTATACTTGCCATACGGACACAGATACAAAAGTCTTTTTTGAAGCAAGAATCCATGAACAAGTGAATGAATATGCCTTGACTCATCTACTATCTCTACCAACTCTAGCAGAACCACTCTAAGTATGTCTTGGCGTTATTTTGTCTGGTTTTCCTCAACTTATGAAGGGAAAGTCTTCTTAAAAAGTATTAACAATTGTGACTTACTTTTCAAAGCTTTCTCTGCTTAACTAATTCTAGAACATGAATATCTTATGTAATCAAAAATGGAGACTATCACATGTTCTCGTGTTGAAGTTGAATATAATGCAAACACAAAACGGTGTAAATGAGTAACAGAAACTACTCAAAAGCCATAATGGTCAGGCAAAACATGCCACGGGTCTTGAGTGGTTTGTGGGATGACTAAACCTTTGTTCCTTACAGTCCTTAAAACCAGAGACGTCAAAACTTTCTTAAGTGCTTACCTGGGGGGCTAAGATTGCATACCAGGAGTGAAGGAAGTGCTGTTTTCTTACAAAATAACGTCTCCGACAAAATGTCAAGTCATGTTTGTAAAAGGGAGTGGTCGGAAGGACGTCTGACATCTATAGCCTCCATAGGGTGCAAAAAACTGGGGGTTTTGGGGAGGTCTTTGGGAGCTTTTATGTGCTATTTTCTGATTGCATATAGACAACATAGCCGGCCTGGTTGAATTACCCCCATTTAGAACTGGCATGAGCTAATCAGAAAACAGCCGAAGACCACCAAACCCCCAGTTCTATAAGCCTGGTACGGAGGCTATCTGACATCCCTCTTGCCACCTACACCTGTACAGTTCAGGTAAAACGTGTATCAAAGGCTCCATTCAGAGCAATAGCCTGTCTATAGGGGTAGATTTATAGCCAGTTTGTAAATGTACTTTCCTTGAGTAAATGTCATGGTTAATTCCCACATGTGTGTGCCAAAATCCTGACACTGCCCTTAGTGGCACTGCAACAATACTGTTTGGTCAAGCAATCGTAATATTTGTGTAGTCAAGCACCAAGTTTTCTCTCACAACCCTGCTATAATACATGTACAAAATTCTTCACATCCGCACGTAAAATAACCCACCACACCTTCTGTTGTTACTAGACCGCGTCTGCTACATTTTTTAACCTCACATTCCTTAAGGCAACAAACGCATGACCTATTTTTATTCCTCTGTTTTTTTTCCTTTTCAGGTCATGCCGAAAATATAGATCGCAAGATACCCTTAAAATGTCAGCCATGCGTCCTGTAATTAGAAAATTGAGATAATTGATATGGTGAAAGACCTATAGATAAAAGACGCAGGTTTGCCGCCATCTTGTATTCCCTTACAGAAGGTGTTTCCGACAGGTGTCCAGTGCCATAGATACACCTGTTTTACCTCTAAACTTCCAGAGTTTCACCTATAAACAACCAACCGCCGTTTCTTGTAGTTTGAGCGAAACTCCTTGGCTATTTCTACACACGGTCGGACAATGTTAGAAGTTTGCACAACACCTTGAGAAACCTTAGAAGACCTCTTCAACATGACTAACACACATACCCGTTCCACCACTTCCACTCAAGCTTGAAAAAATTCAGACACTTTTTTCCAACCCTACCTGTGCCGACCTGGTTTTCCGTGGATATATGATATACTCCATCCTGTCCGAAGATTCTTTAACTTCAAATTTTCGAAAATGACCCACGTAACTAAGCAGAACTTTTTCGTACACAAAAAAGGTGGTCTTGAGTCGGTCAGGACGCCATGTCGGTAACCAAGGATCGTTTACCCCCGAGCGGTGTTGGTATAAAGTGACCCGCAACAGCGCGCTGGCATTGTGTCGTGCAAAGTACACCGCACGCCCAACACAAAGCCTCCGCAAACTATACTAGCAAACAAGCTGACCCACTAAACACTGTGGATTATTGCCCTCGCGTACAATGACGGCTATAGACACAAGGAAATCGTATATCCATTTGATTTCTTCCGCTGTTTGCGCCCCCCTTGTACTTGTCGCTACAATTATCGCCGATTATGACAAATAAGGTTTTTATATACCCTCCGTAGCATGCTTATAGAACTGGTTGTTTGGTGGTCTTCGGCTGTTTTCTGATTAGCCCAGTTCTAAAATAAAAGGGGGTTATTCAACCAGGCCGTCTATGTTGTCTATATGCGATCAGAAAATAGCACATAAAAGCTCCCAAAGACCCTGAAGACCCCCAGTTTTTGGCATGCTATGGAGGCTAGTTTTTATATACCTGTGAGGGGTGAGGGTTGTTTCGTCTTGTTGGTGAAATCGGCCGGACGTCCGCGCGCGAACTGCGAGTCGTGCTACCAGTTGCCGCCGACCATCCGCGAATTTCACGTCGTATCGTAGAACTGTCTGCCACGGAGGATGCCTCGTCCGAATATTTGTCGCTCGGAGGCGGGAAAACTCCTTTGGAATCCATCTGCAGGGCCTTGTTGAGTTTTGCCGCGAAGTTCCCGGGTGGTAGGTCGATTTTGAGAGCCATGGTGCCACCGTGAGGGCTTCACAGCTACATCTAAGTCAACCCGAGTTTGTCTGAATGAAGTCTTGTTTGCCCTGTGACAGCTCACTGCGCCACCTGTCTGTCTACCTTTATGATGAATAACACACGTGGTTCGATTGTTCCGCGTCCTTAGCAACCATTCTGACGACGGGTCGAGTGCCCGCGCTCTGATTGGCTAACCGTCGCCCAGTTTCGCGGTCGGGCGACCCCACACAAAAACACGCACACGATCTGGTTTCCAATTTACGCTAACGTAAACTTAAGAGATCGCGACCTCCTACTGCATAAAAAACTGGATACAGTTTGATAAACAAGAAGTGAAGAAAACACGAGGTTATGAAAACACACTCTGGTGTCCGGTGCTGTTGGTGGTTTTAAAACGCCCGCGCGAAAGCAATTATGACTGGATGTTGTGGCAATATAAAACGAGATTGAGAGAAAGATTTTGATACACAGGACCTACGTTGTGCTAGCCTCCATCGCATGCCAAAAACTGGGGGTTTTGGGGGTCTTCAGGGTCTTTGGGAGCTTTTATGTGCTATTTTCTGATTGCATATAGACAACATAGCCGGCCTGGTTAAATTACCCCGTTTTTTACCCCCGTTTTTAGAACTGGGCTACTCAATTTCTAACAGCCGAAGACCACCAAACCCCAGTCCTATAAGCCTGCTACGAAGGCTACACCTAGTACCTACGTTGTGCAAGGCGACGAAGATTTTAGTGACACTTAAGTGATAGGTGGTTGAAGGCTTCGATTGTGTACTAGTTTTATAATTTTGGGCTCCCTAAATATATAGTACTTTTCAAAACGTAATTTTTATCACTTTTGACGAAAATGGGAAAAATCGAATCGCATAAACAATGAGTTGTCCTCCAAGAAAAAAATAACTTATTTTATTTTTTGTCAAGTTGTTTTGAACTTTAAAGCCAATTAACATTCACGAAAGAATAACTAGAATTTTAGAAGAGTGCTACGTTACTTGCCCTTTGGCCTAAGGAACATTTTGAACCCAAAATTGTAAACCCGAATTTCCGAAATAAACTTTTCCAATTTCTGTACTCAAAGAGGCACCCATACAAACCAACCTTGCTGAAAATATAGCTGTCGCTTTGTGTGTGTCACTGAGAATAAAATGTTTTTTTGTAGTCCCTCAATGCAGTTTTATGATATGCACATAGGCAATTCTTGTGGTATGCTTTTGAAGAAAGAAGACCAAATGATCGAAAACGCCTATCTTATATATACAAGTAGTTATAGACAATCTGGTCGTAGCAAAACTTTATGCTAACAGGTGGGTGACTGCAATGCACACTAAAACCGTTAAGCGGCGTTCGTGCACCAGGCTTCGCCCACCGTGGCTGCAGTTACTGATCTACCCGCATAATGGCGCTCCTAACCTTCCTTCTCGCACCACTTCTCGCGATAACTGGCGAGATCTTGACGTCACCTTAGAGACGACCCAAATAAACAGCGTTCAAGAGACCTGAACTCTTTCCACAGCATTTTCAGACGTTTTTTCTTCCACCATAGCGGCCAAAAGCTGAAAGACCAAGATGCCAGCGACTTCGCATCTCCCCAAGCAGCCGATCCAAGAACAGATCGCAGAGCTTAACAGGAAAATCGCACTTTTAGGTGGGTAGAAAAAAATTGTAGTTTCGGCGCGCGAGTTTGCACCGTTTCTATGTACTGATTCAGTCGTCATAAACTAGAACTCAGAAGAAGTGCAACAAGGGTGTTCCAGAACTGAAGCTTGCCTTGACGACACTTTGTTTGAGAAAAATTTTGTCATATTAAAACGGCCGAGGTTGCAAGTGGTAGTTTTATCGTAGAAAAGATAAACTATAATTTTGGGATGCTGTTGAAAAATAATTCATGTTGGGTTGTAGATGGGGAGGGGGGCGGAGTTCAGAAAAGAGACCTTGCAGTTCGGCATTCGTGAAAACTGAAGTTTTGACAGCAGTAGGTCAAGAGGTAGCATCATATAATCATCATCTAATATAATTATAATTTAATACAAGATTTAATCATTGTAATGTAACATTATATTTGCGAGTAAGGTAAACTTCAAGGAGATTTAAGTTTAACTCTGTTGTCATAAAATCACATATAGAAACTCAGCACCAATGCTGTACGTTAAATGTTTATTCTAGTTCTACATTCGGACAAATAAACATGATTTTAGAAATCTCATGATTGGTCATTAATTATCCTGATAAAGGCGACAGTGGTCATTGAAAATTTGATCTCTGTGTGATCCTTGTGTTGGAATAAAGTTCAATATTTTACTATGATTAAAATGTACTACCAACACAGATGAACGTTCATGATAATGATTTCAGAGTGTTTAGAAAAAGAGTTTCATGTTGTTTTCCGACAGACGGTGACCGTAAGGCGTACTACGAGAGCTCACAATGGACCATGAAGAAGAACCGAGAGCTGGTGGCTCAGCTGAGGCAGGAGAACAAACAGCTCCACAAACTCAAGGCAGACGCTGTGGCGGTGAGTACCATATTTTTCATGAAAATGTATTTATTAGTCTAAGTGCTATCCCCGCTATGTAATGTATATAGTCAATCAGTATCAAGTGGTAGAGTCTGCCACACTAGTCATGAGCGGCACTGTGGAGCAAGAACTGCAGAGAACAATGCTCAGTGACTGTCAGAGAAAGCTGTAGACTGTCTTTCTAGACAAAAAGATCTCAAGAAGATAAAGTGTATGTAATGGATGAACTAAACTGTGCTGGTTGAGTGTATTACTTGGATGTCATGGCTACCATACATAATTGCAAGCCTTCATATTTTGGAATGTCTGATTATGTGTATTCTTTACTTTGATTATAACCATGTTCTGTAATTCCCCTCCCCCCAGATGGATGACAAAGTGCTGAATGAGGCCTTCCAGAACAGGAATGTGGAGAGGGCTGCTCTCAGGGGCAAGTCTGGCAAGGTATGAAGTATGTTATGTATGTAGTTTTTGGTCCATTTGTACTACTGACCTTAAAAATTGTAGATGCAAACTACACATAGTTTTGATGGTAGAGTACAGCTATGACATCAACTTTGTTCTCATGGGCAAGTCTGGGAAGGTACACAGTGTGTTGGTAGAACAACCTGAAACAGGTTTAAACTGTAATTTCCAACACAAAAATTTGACTTACCCAAATTTCCAATTGTTGAACTCTGGTCTTTGTCAAGGAATGAGCAATACACCACTTCTGCATATGAAAACAGTAACATAAACATAATTGACTCTGTTTTCATAGTTTTGAATCTCTTCTTTGCAAATTTCTTCTGCAGCAAGCCATCACGATCGTGGACCACAAGGTGTGCGACACCATCAAGCGGCTGAACGACCTGCGGCACAAGACGGAGGTGAAGCAGAAGAAGCTTGCGGAGCTACAGACGCAGCACGACCAGATGATCACCGACGCCAGCGCTGCGCAGGAGATGTCCACTGGGGAGTCAGAGGATGCTCAGGTAAGCTGGGGGCACGGGATTTGCTACTCTTTTGGAGCACAGCTTAGTGTTTGGGAAACTGAGAGAAATCCACATCTGATGCACTGAAGATGCTTTGTTTCTACATGTCTAAATGTTTTAGTGTTCTTTCAAACTGGGATATAGTCATTTGATGGTTTAAAAGACAAAAAATTATTGTAGACTGGTTTCTTTGTCTGAGATATGAATGAGAATCAGCTAAAACTTTTACAAAAGACCCAACCTGTATGGGTCCAAAGATTATGCCTTGAGGAACCCCAGTCTGGAAGAATGTTTTGTGTCATCACCTTTGTGTATGCGTCACCACTTTTGTGTTAATGTCACCATGCTTCTGTATGTGTCACCTCTTACGTACATGTCTGTGTCATCCTTTTTGTGCATGTGTCACCACATTCGTGTATGTGTCATCACTGTTGTGCTGTGTCTCTCATCTGCTCTGCACCCACTTTTGACACCACAGCTGATCTGACCACTTACAGTGCAGTGGCACACTTACACTTACAGCACATATTGGTCTGAGGACTGAGCCCGTGGAAAATATATCAGATATTGAGTGTTTGATGACGTTGCATGTTGATTGTACCATTACAGAAGGGACGACAGAGAAGTGCTAAAAGTGCTAAGGCAGCAACTGACCAGGTTGGCTTGCATCATGTTAGGGACCCTGGCCAAACAAAGAACACTGCCAGACTGTTACAAACTATCATAAATTGTTCAGTAAGCAGTGTATGGGAACTATTCCTACATGTTGTGATGCTTTAATCAGATATAGTTTAAAATAGTTAAAAAAGGGACACAAAAATCATTTGTGTCAAGTAATTTTACCGTAGACAGTAGTTTTCTTTGTTTGGTCATAATCAGTTAGTATACACACCCTCACACAGAAATCGATACTATGACCTAGTTCTACAGTTCACTTACAGGCATTTGGAGCTGGTCTGTCTGTACATGTACATGTCTGTCTGTCTGTCTGTGCATCTGTCTGTCTTATATGTCTGTATGATCACATTCTTATATTATATTATTAATACTAGATGATCACCATGTATGCATAGTTAGGATACAACATATTTTGTATATTTTTCTTCTATAGTCAAACCTGTACTGAGTTTGTCAGGAAGATAATATATTCAGAACAAATTAACTGAACAAAACTAGAAGAAAATCTGTGATGCACAAAAGCAAAACAGCAATCAATTACCCAAAATTGTACATTTTATCTTAGAAAACAATTCTTTTGTATTCTCTAACAACACCCAAGGGATGTCTCAACCCTTCCATGTACAGCTTTAAAAAATTTTGTTGACAGAAACAGCAAGCCTTACTAACTCCTGAACTTTTCTACCTTCACTTCAGACCCTACGCCAGCTGGAGAACCGCCTGGACAAGATGATGCTGAAGTGTCAGGAGGCAGAACACATCCGCAAGACCTACCAACAGATCAAGGTGCACCTGGGCAAGGTAAGGTCTGCTTACAGCTGCCCTCTAGCAGCTGTGTAGTAAACTGCAGTCAGCCTGCACCTTAGAACCTGAAGAGTACTGGGACTTCTTCTTCTTTTGTCATCCTCACGTTGAGGGGAAACATATGATGCTTTTTCAAGCAGCTAGTAGTGCAATATGTCTTTGCTATGGCTTGCTTTTTCAGCCTAACACACCAGGTCACCCCCACTCTATTCTGTGCTGAACTAAAACAATTTCAAAATTGATCTTAAGTTTCAAATTACCTTGTTTGTCATATATCTCAAAGGAGAGAGTCATTGGTGCCAGGTAGTTTGTACTATTGAAACAAAAGTTTTTTGAGTTCCCAAAAACTCAAACATGAGAAATTTTTGTCAGCAAATGTCTGCCCCTTGTACTGTTAAAGACATACATTGTATTCACTTGCACCTGATTTGTTTGAGCCTTTGTTAATTGTTTATTTGTTTGTTTATTTCCAGGAGGGTCTGACGTACGCTAACCAGCTGGACGCCCTGGAGGCAGAGATCCTGCGTGCCAGGTCGGAGCTGACGGAGCTGAAGGCCATGAACAACGACGCTCAGCTGGCCAGGGACGCTGCTAGGGTAGGACAGCTCTGCTACTTGATCTGTAGTTACATTTATCTATAACTATCCTGCTGGCAACACTTGAAAGGACCCTTACTAAGTACCAGAATTATCAACCAAGGATTGAGGTGTTCAAGAATTAATTCTTTCCTAGAACTATCAAAGAGTGGAACTCGCTGTCACCAAGTACAGTAGGGGCATTGTCATTAGACAGCTATAAGCAATGTTTAGAGTTAGATGTTCAAAGGTTAGTTGTAACACGTCGTTCGGTGTAATGTAGCCAGCTGCCGCCGTGCCGCGTTCCTGTGAAGCTGGTGTGTTATGCCGAAGGGCAGTTATACTCGCTATACGGATACAGAAGCTGGTGTGTTATGCCGAAGGGCAGTTATACTGGCTATACATATCTAGGAAAGCTCCAAAAAGCTAGACTAGTTCTTAACTTGTAAGAGCTGTCTAAGCATGATGAGGTTTCTGGTATCTAACCAGCATCCTTATGTTCCAGGGAGAGCTGTCTAAGCACGAGGAGCAGGTGCTGAGGGAGAGGAGGGAACGGGAGACGGCACTCAATGAGTACAAGAAGCTGGCCGAGGAGAAGAAGGCTCACGCTGAGAGGGTCGAGAGAAGGGTAAGGCGTCTTGTTGTCTTCATGTAATGTTACTTGAAGGTGATATTGTCAGTCACTTTGATCAACCAGATGTTGCTATCAAACTGCAAAGGCAGGAAAGTCAAGCTTCTCCACTGCAGGTTTTGAAGAAAATGGTAGCATGAAAGAATAAGTCTTACTAATAGATGTTCTTCTGATGTCCTCTGAACTTCATTCTATGCTTTGGATGACATTTGATTGCATGTTTCTGATGAAATTTGACCCAGAGTCTGGTGACCTTTGCTTTATTGCTCTGATGACCTTGGACTACATGCCCTATGACCTTTGATGCTGTGTTTCTGATGACCTTGACCCAATGGTTCTCATGACCTTTGACTTCAAATGGTTCTTAAAATCTTTGACTCCATGTTTCTAGCAACCATTGACTCTTTAGCTCTGATGACCTTTGACTTTGATGACATGTCTTTGACAGGTTTTAATGACCTTGACATGGTTGTATTGACCCTTGCCCTCTGCCCCCAGATGCAGCGCGCGTCCCTGCAGCAGGAGGAGCTGCAGCAGGAGCAGCAGAAGCAGCAGATGACGCTGGAGGAGCAGGAGAGGAAGATCACCACGTACGAGGAGGCCTTCAGGCACATCAAGGAGGCCACAGGCGTCTCTGACACACAGGTCTGGGGATTATTTATAGTCTTATGTCTTTAAGACACCTGTTGTGCCTTGTGATTTGTTAGACTCATAGCAAAGATTTCGCAGTTTCCATTTCCATTTATTTCCATTTATTGGTTTGGCTGTTAAATCCTCACAGTCAGGGCAGCCCAACTAGCCAGTGGCTATTACAAAGGGCTTGACCTGCTGACAAGACATTACAAAACATTAAGGCAACATATAAGGTGGCTTTACAATCTACAAAACTATTGCAGTTGGAAGGCAGGCTCATAAGAGTGAAGAAGGAGTAAAGAAAAAGACAAACTGTGTACTACAGATCTGAAGTCACCCTCTTATCCATCACTCCATCCATCCGTCTTCCCATCCATCCATTCACTCACTCAATCTTTCCTTCCTTCCCCCCTTTAGGAGGTAGTCGCGCGGTTCATGTCCCAAGGTGACACCCAGAAGCACCTTGAGGAGCTGAAGCGAGAGAACGAGAAACAGCTGAGCCGACTGAAGGAGGAGAAGGAGAAGCTGCAGGCCGAGTTTGAGGACATGAAGTACTCAGGAGAGGCCAAACTGTCCAGGTGGGGATCTCTTTATTTTACTAAATACTAAACCACAAATTCACAGCTCTCCAGGTGGGTAGTTTCTTGATAATATAATGTTTCTAAGTGTTTGTTAAAGACAGACCATACTAATTTTCATTTAACAATTCATACGTTGAAAGACAATGGGAATTTGAGTGATCTTTTTGAATTTTCTGTCCAATATGACTGAGTATATATGACCAAAATAAATACACAGCAATGTACAAAGGAAGTCACAATCTGTCCATTGAAATGTCCTACTTTCCCGTAATACCAGATGAAATACAAGGCTGGTAGCCAAGTTGAAGCTTTTGGTTGCATGGAAGCTTTATTTCAAAGTATGTTTTGGTGATGTTGCACAGATACAGAAACACAAACTGATGTGTTATGTTTCCCCCCAGTGGGCAGCGTATGCTAGAGGAGATGCAGTCCCACCTTGATGCTGAAGAGGGTCGGAGAGACGAGGCTCAGGACAAACTGGAGCGGGCGAGCCACATCCTGGTCTCCGTCAAGTCAGGCGTGGAGCATCTCGCTGACAAGCTGCAGCACATCAAGGCTGTGAGTTCTCCTCCTTGTTTACATGTGTGTGAAACTGTACTTCTAGCTAGTGAGGTTGCCTCTGTCAGTCAAAGAATCACAGAATTTTCAAAAAATTATCAATCATACAATTACTTTCACATTCTTTGGGATGTAGTCAGTCCCTAGTGTGATAAATATCATGATGTTACATAATCACTTCACTTTGTAACAGTTCATTTTTGTTTTATGCAACACTTTTTTTGGGGTAATATGTTACACTGCCACCACACTAGGGCAAGACCTTCACTCCCTGAGATGTTATATCCCATGAGAAGTTTTAGCATAGAAATACCATCCTTTTCTCCGTGTCTCCCCCATGCAGGCCAAAGGCCACGTCCCGACAGCTAAGATCTCCCCCACATCAGACGAGTACGTGCTGGACCTGCTGTCCATCTCTGAGGAGAAACTCCTCAAGCTGATGGAGGAGCTGGATGGCAAGGACCTGCAGGACATCATCAGGCAGATGGAGGAGGAGGAGGTGGGGGGCTTGGTGTTCTTTGGTTCAATAGAACATTCTATTCTATTCTATTCTGTTGATTCTTTAGAACATTCTATTCTTTCTATTCTATTGATTCTCTGAACATTCTATTCTATTCTATTGATTCTTGAGAACATTCTATTCGATACTTTCTATTCTATACTTTTTATTCTATTCTATTCTAATATTCTATTCTGTTATTGAGGATTGGGCCAAATGCAGGATTCTTTTAAAAAGACCTCTCCTCAAAACATAAATACACAAATATAACAAATGTATTGGAAGGAATGTAAGACATTAACATACAAGATGGAAAACAGAAAATGATGGGGTACTGGTTGTCTGCATGATTCAGGCAGCATATAGAATGATTGGAGCATGGTGTAATTCCAGTATTTGTTTAGGTAATGGAATTAACATGTCTAAAAGACTTTCAGCTAATGCACTTGCCAAATACGGCAAACCCAATAAAACAATTTCCATTTGTTACCATCCTTGATTTGGTAATATCCTCTGATTACCGGGCAGTTGAGAGGCAGTTATTGAGCTTTTATAAAACAGACTTGTAACATTTACTCAATTGTCTCAAACAAAATAGCATCCATCCATCTCTGTCAAATTCATTGATCCAACAGAAACCACTTCGTATCCTTGATCAATTTATCTGATTGTGGGGTCGTACGGAGCAGAGGGTATCTGGGATTATTTCAGGATTCGCTGGCGAAATGTCTCGCTCGGAGATTTAATCGAAAGTGACTTAATGGTGTTATGCAGATTCAGACATTATGAAAATACAATTTCCCCTGTAGATATTTGTCCCCACTGGGACTCGGACTGGCTGAGGGTTTATTTGATATCTGGTAACAGATTGTTTCCACCAACTGAAGAAAGGAAATGAAAAATTGCTGTGGAAATGTCCCAGTCTGAAAATCGTTTTTGTTTTATAGATCAATGAAAAGGTCTTTTGAATGGTGTTAGGATAAAGTACAAGAGCATGGTGCATCAACTGTGCAAAATTAATACAATATTCAGATGACATCTTTAATTCATCATTCTTTTGTATCTTTTCTTTCTCATTTTTGAAAAACTTTTTCGTATCTTTCTTCTTGAAGTTCGACAGGTTAAAATTTTCACCTACATTTTGTTTTTCCGCAATGGATATGGCCATGGCTTATGACAATTAAGACTTTCTTCTACCTACTTAATTGTCTAATGTATCTTGTATTGATTTATTGTTTGACAGAGTTGGATGGTCTCTGTCTTCTATAGTTCTATAGTACATGCTTAGGACATGCATCTTCTTCTTCTATGTACTGCCCCTACATCCTCAAAAGGCTGTGGAAAAATGAAATTGTAAAGAGAAATAACACAAACAGAACTGTTTTTGGATTGAACCAATTCATTTAACTTTTCATTCATTCACCCATCCATCCATCCATCCATCCATCCATCCATCCATCCATCCATCCATCCATCCATCCATCCATCCATCCATCCATCCATCCATCCATCCATCCATTCATTCCTTTATTCATTCCTTGTTCGTTCTCCAGTTCCACGCAAGCATCGAGACGAAAGTGCCGTCCCACAACACGCGAATCAAGCTGCCTCAGACCCAGAAGCAGGGCGATATCTATCAGGATGACGAGGACTCTGGCGATGATGAGGACTCCACCCTCACACGGCAGCAGCTCAAGCGGCAGGCGCAGCAGATCGTCGACTCCAAGACACGGAAGAGGACCAAACCTCGCAAGAAGAAGGGAAAACAGTAGAGGACGGTCGTCTCAGAGGAGGAATCATGGACACAGAATACCATGGGGATAGTCGCCTTTGCAGCCTTCTTGGAGCAGCATCATTTATTTTTTAGGAACGCTGAAATGCTTGATAAACTTGAACTTTTGACATTATTTTGTATGTTGAGAACTGAACCCTACTTTGTTTGCACAGCAAACTCATAGTCTTTTGAGACTGACTGACAGTAGATAATATGCAATTTCTTTCATGGGCCAAGGTTCTCTAAATGAACCAGAGGGAGTTATGCTGTGGTGAGAGTTTCGCCCTTGCTGGAGAGGCAAAACTCCCTGTTCCACCTTCCAGAACCTTAGTCCATGTAAAAAATCGTATATCAGCCCTTCCCCCCAAAAATATATGCTAAATGCTCCAAGAAGTCTGCAAAGGGGGCTACATGGCAATTGTGTCATTGATTTGGATATATTTTCTGAATTCTTGTAAAAGGATATTATTTGATGATAAAAAGATATGCTTAAGCACATTAAGAGAAAAGTTTATGATTTGTGATGTGGATATTTTGTTGACTGTATATGAAAGGTGTATAGCAAATATTGTATAATCAGGACTTTCTTTCTATTTTTCACATAGTACTTCGGTAATTCTGAAGATACCGTTTGACAATTTGGGCAAAAATCAGATCATAAGAATCAATGTTCATATTTTGAAGACACTTATTTCAAAGTAGAGATCATGACTTAATCATGTGTTTATATTTTAGAATTTTGTAAATATGTTATGTACCAGGTGGTTTATTGATCAATGCTAGAGATCAATGAATTAGTTTTTGACATTCTGTGAGTCAAAAAAAGTTAATAAAACCAAGAGGTTGAAGAGTTGAAAGCCCTGTTTTTCAGCAACAGGATATTTTCCACATCTTTGCAACACCAGCAAACTGTAGGAAACTTCAGCACTTTCCAAATGTGACTGTTTGAGAAAAAAAAAGATAAGGAAAGACTAAGAATGTAACAGGGAAGTAACTTTTGGACCCTTCCAATGTTTGAGCAAGGCCCTGGGTCAGTATTTAGATAACAGAGTTATAAATCTGGCTCTGTGCTTTGTAAGCACTCACGGTGAGCTCTGTCAGGTGGTAACTTTACAACAGTGACCCAATTGTACTATTAAAGTGCCTACACAAAGTTTGCTTGAATTCTATGCACTTGTATACTTGATATTGTATGTTATTTCTGCATACTATAAGAATAAAGCAAAAATAAGTGACTTGAGTCTGTTGGAAATTGATTTAAGGTGTCTTGTTTGTGTTAACGTGAACTCTGACCAACAGTGGATTGCAGTTAGGACAGTCCAGGACAGATATGTGTTACTGATTGATGGAGGGAAAGGTCCTTGTGATAAGAGTTTGTTTGGGTTTCACATCTGTCACTTAATCAAACTTTTAAAATGCTGTTAAAATTGTAACTTATTTTGTATCAATACAAAAATGTTCATATTTTAATAAGGTAAGGTAAAAAGCAATACGTTATTATTGACACACATACATTAGAAACACAATTGAATACATAATTGCCCCAAGACAAGCAAAATGCAAACAGTATGTAGGCATGCATGTTTTAATTTTGAGTCCATGCATGATTTTGAACCAAGGACCCAATACCTTCTCTTTAAGTTTTAAATCCACTGACTGTTTTTGGTGATCTTTATAGGCCTGCTAAATTATGAGACTTGCCCTCAATCTTGTCAGTAAAACACTGAACATCTCTGGAAAGTTCAGAGGTTAGATAGATACAGACCAGATATCAGTTCAGATGTGTCAACCAATTGATGGATCTGGGCCAGTTGGATAAATTTTCAGAATGATTCCTTACATTTTCCCTGGATAGGTTTCAGAGTGTTTTGGGTCATGTATTCAGTCACCAAGAATAGTTTCTTGCACTGAAAAGTCGTAGAAAAACTGTAGGTATTACAGAAATATATTAGTCTTCACCAGACTCCTTTGCTGGCCTAAATTCCTTGGCCAGAGAATTTGGCTGGCCAGAGAGGGTCCAATTTGCCTGCACAGAAAAATTGGACCCTCTCTGGCTGGCCATTACTTCTTTGGCCAATTAAAACGCCTTTTTAGGCCGATTTCTACTATTTATTCAGCCTGCAAAAGAGGCTAGTGGAGACTAGAAATACATATGGTGCTCTCCAAAGTTCACCTGTTGCTGAATCTTGCCAAAGGGATCCTGGCTGTCAAGTTGCTCCTGTCGTTCTGTTTATCGGTGTATGGGGGCGCTTCTGTCTGACATAAGGTCACGTATAACGGTACACTTTGGGGAAATCCTTCCGCCAAAAATGTAAGAAAAATTTAGAAATTCACACGAATTTACACTACATTTTGTCGTAGTTTGTACTCTGTTCTTTTAGATAGTATAAATTGGTATATTTTTATAAACAAGTTCAGTTTTTGGTGACAAATATACCGATTTATGTTGGGACTATTTTCTTACTAGATGTGAATACGCTAATTAGTTGGTGCTCCGCCGCCGTGCCCACACGACATATTGTAGGACTTTCATCCTAGGTGCAGAGGCGGGAGTGTGTGCCAAAAGAAACTCTTGTTCTCTAGAAAAACGACGCCTTCTTCGAGGACTTTAAAGACGTATAGAGCAAGAATGGGGAACTGACAGAACCTACAAGGGGTGTGTGTGCAACTGCAGTCGCATCGAGGATGAATTTCTTCAGCCGGCACAGCGACAGGGTAAGTGTGTGTGTGTAGATTTCAGCTACAAAGTTTTGGGGGTGGAGTAGATCGGTGGGGAGGGGGGCGCTTGTTGGAGAAAAAAAATCATTATCTTGGTGCGGAAATATCACCCAGATGCCGTATCGCATTTTTAGACTGAATATTTTGTTTCCGAGCTTGCTGTTGTGGTGTTTTCGGCGTGCCCATATGCATATTTCGCGTGTGAGTGAGCATGGTTTTGCTGCGCAGCCGGTGAACCGTTAGCTAGTGTGGGTGGGTGGGTGTGGACTGACAGCCGGATTTCTCCGCATCGCTTAGGCCCTGAATCAGACCTCACAGGGCAACAAGACGACTTGTCTACCTTCTTACAACTTCTTACGGTTCTTAGAGACTTAAAGAAACGTGTCTTCTTTGCCTGTAGTGCTCTAGACTACGCTAAACAGTGCAGCGACGTTTTGTTTTGGCGTCCACAAATGTACAAGTAACGTCACACGTTTTAGTACGCTCAGGCCCTGAATCAGACCTCACACCGCAACAAGACGACTTGTATTCCTTCTTACAACTTCTTACGGTTCTTAGAGGCTTAAAGAAACGTGTCTTCTTTGCCTGTAGTGCTCTAGACTACGCTAAACAGTGCAGCGACGTTTTGTTTTGGCGTCTACAAATGTACAAGTAACGTCACACGTTTTAGTACGCTCGGCCCTGAATCAGACCTCACACAGCAACAAGACGACTTGTCTGCCTTCTTACAACTTCTTAAGGTACTTAGAGACTTAAAGAAACGTGTCTTCTTTGCCTGTAGTGCTCTAGACAACGCTAAAACGGTGTAGCGATGTTTTCCTTTGGCGTCCACAAAAATTATGTACAAGTAACGTCACACGTTTTAGTACGCTCAACCCTGATTCAGACCTCACACAGCAACAAGACGACTTGTCTACCTTCTTACAACTTCTTAAGGTTCTTAGAGACGTAAAGAAACGTGTCTTCTTGGTCTGTAGTGCTGTAGACTACGCTAAACAGTGCAGCGATCTTTTGTTTTGGCGTCCACAAATGTATGTAACGTTACACGTTTTTAGTACCGTGCGTGTCCTTGGGACATGCCGATGCTATATGATTCATACAGGATTTTTCCATATCAGACAGACGATTATAAATTACATGGCCTTGTCCGCATTACACACTTCCCCTGTACCCTCATAACTTTCATTATAACGCCATTACTCGAAATTACGATTGTCATGCGAGTATGAATATATGAATTTGATATGGTTGACAGCAACTTGAATGTTTCACACGACTACACATGTCATCTAGGCATCACCATGTTTTGTTTAGACTTTAGTGCCACCAAAGATGGTATGTGTATGCATGCCATATGCCTTAAAACATTGACATCTGTATTCTTCCATCCATATCTTTTGCATAGCATCAATATAATATGAATATGATATGGTTGACAGTAACTTGGATGTTTCACACGACTACACATGTCATCTAGGCATCACCATGTTTTGTTTAGTGCCACCAAAGATGGTATGTGTATGCATGCCATATGCCTTAAAACATTGACATCTGTATTCTTCCATCCATATCTTTTGCATAGCATCAATATAATATGAATATGATATGGTTGACAGTAACTTGTATGTTTCACACGACTACACATGTCATTTAGGCATCACCATGTTTTGTTTAAGGCCACCAAAGATGGTCTGTATGCATGCCATATGCCTTAAAATGTAGACATCTGTATTTTTCCATCCATATCTTTAGCATAACATGATAACATTTTAATGTAATGTTGTCAAATGCCCTACATTCCCACTAGACTGCTTGTATATAATTAAGTCCTTGACATTTTTACAGGGACAATTGTGATATTTACCCACCAGGAGTGTCTGTGGTTGCTAGTTACCGTTTGACATTAAACAAATTGAAGACCCATTCCTTCCTTTCAATGGCATGTTTTTCTATACATCAGCTGCTACCATTTCATTGTTGTACATGCAAATTACCTTATATAACGTTAACTGTTTACCTCCATTGTAGATTCTGTCTATTCCGGATTCGTACCAGCCGTTGTAGTTAAAGTGTTTGTTCGCCGCAATTATAGCCGTCTTGCTTGACTTTCAGCATCCGGTGGCCACAAGTGTTTATGTGTAGAGTGTTAGAGGGGACATCTTAATTGCCTGTTTGTCTGCAATGGATCAGTCATCAGGCCTGGTCTGCATGGTCTCATGCACCAGTGATGTCTGCATGGCTGGTTAATGTGAGCAAGGATGATGTGAGTGAGCTGTATCTGTTACTGTGTAATGTTAGTGTGGAACAGTGTAGCACTAGCAGCCTACTAGCAGGGCTCGAAATCCTTTTTCTACATATCTATACTGGTGCAGGTAGTATTGAATATTGCCTGCACCAGACAAATTTTACCCGTACCACTCAGAATTTAAGAGCTATGGATCATACTAAAGACTGTTCAGGTACCATTGACATTATTTCTTTTTAATGTTTTATACTGTGTAGATGGTAACAGCCAATCCAGCAATATTTGAAAATAAAAATCTACCTACTAGTATATGTACTAGTATATGAGTATGTAAACCCAGTACATGGACCAGTTAGGTGCAGTTAGACATCAGAAATACCTGCACAGCTGCAATATTACCTGCACTAAGGTGTATATGCTGGTGGTATTTCCAGCCAGAGTAGGGATGTCTTGGGGCAATTTGGCTCAACATTCCTCAAGACAATGAAAAACTCGAAAAGCGAACAAAAGGCAGTTTTCATCGCAGATTGAATACACATGCTCTGAATCACTATTCATGAAGCCTTGTCGTGGGAAAAGTAGAAACATAACCTGAGAGAAAAGACAACAGACGCCATGCCCGCTTGTTTGTGTACGCATTTCAAAGATTTTTCATTAGATTAGGGCATACTGCACTTTGGCTTCCTTTGCAGGTAAGAGACATAGATGATAGGACAGGTAGTATGATACTTGATAGTCAAATTACTATTCATGAACCCATGTTATGGGAAAAGTAGAAACATAACCTGTGAGTAAAGACAACAGAAGCCGTGCCTGCTTGTTTGTGTATGGTACACGGTGGAAGTATTTCAAAGATTTCTCTGGTTTTTCATTAGGGCACAGTGCGCTGCAGCTTCCTTTGCAGGTAGGACTATGTGCACAGGTAGTACAACTTAGTTTAATCACTATTCTTGAACATGAAGTCATGCTTTATGGGAAAAGTCTGCATGTAAAGACAACAGAATCTGGTTGCTTGTTCGTGTATGCTGCATTGGTGGAAGCATTTCAAGGATTTTCTCTGATTTTTCACTACACAATGCAGCATTCTTTGCAGGTAGGAGTCATAGAACGTTGAAGCCATGCTATGGGAAAGGAAAGAAACATAATCTTGTATGTAAAGACAACACAAGCAGGTTGCTTGTTTGTGTACGCTACATGAAGGTGCTTCCAAGCTACTACTATCAGCATGTAATCCAATCATACGTGTTTTGTTACTGAATCTGAAACATTCTTGTCTGCATGAGAGAGTGACACTGCCTGGAGGAAGCCTGTTTCCACCCACAAGTTTCCGTTGCGAATGTCCCCTTTGTCTTGTGAAGTTCCAGCTCAAGCAACACTGATCTAGTTAAAAAGATTACTTAGTCATTACAGAGTTAACAGCTGGTTTGAAAGCAGAAAGGTTTCCTTTGTTGATGATTCACTGAAAAATAGACAAAGCCAAAGGCACACACATGGTCCAAGTCAAGTGTTTTTCCTACTGTATGATTTTGTAAGCCTTTGTTTTGGTAGGACTGCGATTGAAAATTAAACTTGAATGGTTTCTTTGTGTATTACCCACGTAGGAAGCACTCAATGTCAAAGAAAACTAGGGAGGTGTTTTCATTTGCTACTAACCTGTTTCGTCAGTAACACTATGGTTGTAACTAAAGGAAATTTATGTTGACGTCAATGCTAAACGTATGGGGTGTCTGTGTGATATTCTCTTGAGTTTATATTACATGTATATTATTTTGTGTTGGTCTATATATATTATGATTTATATTTCACTAGCTGCACCTCTTAGAGGATGAATGAAGAAGAAGATATATGATTTTCTACATGATTTTCTTTCCAGTTTATCATCTTTGCTGGTCTTGATAATCAAAGCTATCAGATTTTTATCATGCAAGTGAGACTGCTAATTTACGCAGGGTTACACAAGGGTTAACTCCCCCCTGTTGTGTACAAGGCTTATTAACAGCACTTATCATCACAAAACAGTTGAAAACACGTTTGTTATAGATTTATGTTAATGCCGGCACCCCCTTGTGAAAGCTCCACATGAAGCAAAAACACAATAGGTCGATAACAATGCTTTGATGACGGAGTGTGTAATCGTCAAATTGGTTACCTCTTACGCAGAATAATCTGTGAATGCGTGGAAGGAGCCAGCATGTCTGCCGTTGCAGACAGAATGGTAAAACCGTATTGTGTAGGATGAATAATCCAGTTAGATCAACCAGTGCCTGCCCACCCACAAAAATTCCAGTTGAATTCCTTGTCTCATTTTGGGCATTCCTAGCTAGAGCCCAGCATGACATTCATGAGAAACAAATCTGCTACGAAACATTGGAATAATGGTCTGAATTTAAGATTCTGACAGGATTTGACCCAAACATTCAACTTAAAATGGATTGAATTTGTGAATTTTCCCCAATTTATGTTGGGATAGGCCCAGTTTTATCAAAATACAGAAGGGTTCTCCTTATTAAGGCAATATTTTCAATTTTTGATATCATCACATTGAAAATTTTCAATCTATAAAATTTACTTGTGTTTGGCCTAGGTTCATCTTGCACACACACCTTGCTCTAAATTCCAGGTGAGAGTCCTGAATGTAAATGTCTGTTGACATGTTTACATGTACAGCATCCCACTGTGTTGTGCATACCTATGAACCAGGTAGAAAGGAACTACCATCTAAACTGGTCAGGTCACCCTGACACACCTAATG